CTGTGTTAATCAGATCCTTAAAGCAAAGTCTAAACTCCGTAATATTGAAACGCTGAAACACCTAAATATTGATATCGATAAAACCAAGCTTCAACAAGAACAGTTCAAGGCTGTCTGGAACACGCTGTCAGAAAGAAAAAGTCGCGGTGAAACAAACATTCGAATCGGTTACATTCGAGGCCAACCAACAATAATTTCAAAAAACTGAACAATACACGCCCTTCCAATGTCAATGAAGATTCAACTCCGTTTGTATTTAACTATAATTGTAATTTTAATTTTAACCTTAAAAATAAGTTAGCTGATAAGTTTATTAATTTCGTTGGTTATTACCAAAATGTACGCGGTTTACGCACAAAATTAGATATTTTGCGTTGTAATTATTCACTGTTCGATTTTGACTATTGTATATTAACTGAAACATGGCTCACTGCAGATTTCTGTGACTCAGAGCTAGGTCTTACCGATTATCAACTGTTTCGCTTTGATAGGAATGAAATTACTAGTCCCCACCGTAGAGGTGGTGGTGTTCTTATCGCAATTAATAATTTATATGCCGCTAAAATGTTATCTGTGCCGATAAATAACGTAGAACAACTTTTCATATTAGTATCGGTTGGTAATAAAAAACTAATTATAGGTGGTGTTTATATCCCCCCATCCAGTGGCCCGGATATGTACGACTCTCACATTCAATCATTAGAATTGCTTCGTACGAAATACGCGGACTGCGAGTTTATTATTGCTGGTGACTTCAATTTATCTTCTGCACGTTACGATCTCAATTCAAATTCCGGTGTCAACTTTTTTCCTACCACTGCTCAATCTGATTCTATTCTTTTCGGTTATTCGTATTTTAACTTCCGCCAATTCAATCCAATACTTAATTATAATAACTCACTATTAGATCTTGTTTTTTCATCCCTTCCTATGTTGTCAGTCTCGTTATCTTTAGATCCGATTGTCCCTATCGATAACCATCACCCACCGTTAAGAATCTATTCTAAAGTACAACGCATTTTTAATACTCTTCCACACAAAATTGAATTTTTCAATTTTAAAAAAGTGAATTTTATTGACATTATTTACGAATTAAATAAAATTAACTGGTCATTAACATTTTTAAATTTAGATATTAATACAGCTGTTAATAAATTTAATTCAATATGTCACGAGGTTTTATTAAAACATGTTCCTATTGTTACTTATAATTATAATTCATTCCCAATATGGTTTAATAAAGAATTGAGACTGTTAATAAAAGAAAAAAAAAGAGCCCCTTTTAAATATAAACAATCTAATCACGTTTCGGATTACTTCACCTTTTCAAATCTTCGCCTACAATGCAAACAACTATCTCGTTCCTGTTATTTAAATTTCATATCCAAGACTCAATTATCATTGGTCAGTAAGCCAAAACAATTTTGGAAATTTATTAATGACCGCAAACAATTAAACACCTTCCCAAAAGTCATGTTTTTAAATAATAAAACTGCACAGGACGGGTTAAATATTACTAATTTATTCGCAGAACACTTTTCTTCGGCCTACTCACACATTTGTCCATCAACTGATGATTTAAAGGTTACGATCGCCGATTGTATTGATCTATCAAAAATCGACATTACTGTTCAAGAAGTTTTCTTAGCACTAGAAAAATGTAAACTTAATAGCTCACCTGGCCCTGACGGTATTCCGGAAATAGTTTTAAGCCAATGTAGGTATGCTTTAACGCTTCCTTTACACTACCTTTTTTCTCTGTCACTGTCTTCAGGCACATTTCCAGACTTATGGAAATCCTCTTATGTCCAGCCAGTTTTTAAAAACGGCGATCGCTCTAATATTATTAACTATCGTCCTATCAGCATTATGTCATCAATTCCTAAGTTATTAGAATCTATTTTACTTCCTAAATTAAACTTCTCTTTTTCTAAATATATAATTCCACAACAATTTGGTTTTCGTCCACATACTTCTACTTCTTCAAATTTAGTTGCATATCATAAATATTTAATGGATGTTATTGAAAAAGGTGGTCAGGTCGATGCTATATATACTGACATTAGTAAAGCGTTCGACACTATTAACCACGCTGTGCTGATTCGTAAGTTAGAGTTGATGGGTGTTAATAATCTCATGTTAAAATGGTTTAGTTCATATATATCTTGTAGATCTCAAAAGGTAAGGCTTCACGGTTATGTTTCTAATAATATCTCTATCCCCTCAGGTGTCCCACAGGGAGGTCATATTTCACCACTACTTTTTATATTGTACATGAATGACGTTGGCTTAGTTTTTAAACATGCACAGTTTAGTATGTTTGCCGATGATTTAAAACTATTTTATAATATTAATTCATTAGATGATGGCTCTAAATTACAAGACGACTTTGATAATTTCAAAGCCTGGTGCTATAATAATGGTTTACAACTTAACATTAATAAATGCAATTCCATCTCTTTTTATCGTAACAAATCTCCGTTCAATATTGCTTATTACTCCGACAATTACCTTTTACCTAAAGTAGACTCTATTAAAGATCTTGGTGTTATTTTTTCTAGTTCACTCTCTTTTACTGCGCACATTCAATCAATAACTATAAAAGCATCACGATCACTTGGCTTTATTATCAGAAACACGCGCGATTTTACTAACATTGTATCATTAAAAATTCTTTATTTCGCTCTAGTACGTTCAGTACTTGAATATTGCTCCATTTTGTGGAACCCTTACCAACTTGTATGGATAAATAAAATCGAAAGAGTTCAAAATAAATTCCTAAGATTTATTAATACAAAAATTCCTAACAATTGCATAATAATTGATCATTGCTATGAACCACTTAGAAGACTGGTTAATATCAACTCTCTAAGTTCAAGACGTCTATATTTTGATGTCATATTTATTTACAAAATCTTACATGGCACTATAAAAGATAGTTTTCTGCTCAGCCAAATTAATTTATCAGTTCCTACATTTAATTCTAGAAGCCGGCCGACCTTCCACATTCCTAGTCACAAAACACTTTACGGTTTTTTTTCCCCTATTAACAGAGCATTAGTCTCCTGTAACAACCTACAAAACAAATTTGATATTTTTCATTCCTCTCAAAAAGCGTTGCAAAATAATATATTTTCTTTCTAAACATCTTTTCTGTTTAATATATTGTATACCTACAACCAACTTATAAAACCAGTGTGTTAACAATAATTAAGTTAATATTGTATATTTAATATTGTAATGTTATAATGTTTTATCTATGTATGTTTTTGTTTAAACTAGCTTAAGTATTCAATTATTCTGTACTGATTGCCTTCGGGCGTGTATTTCAAATAAATAAAAATAAAAAAAAAAATACCTATGACACACCTAGACTTTGCCGATTTTCCAATTAATAGTGGTTTAATTTTATCTGTGCCAGTCATATTTGATTCTAAAAGAATTGTAACTCTTTCTTTACTGTTTAAGGAAACTACCTTTACCTAGCGTAAAATAATAATTAATAATAATATTATTTGACAAATATTTAATGTACTCAAAAGAAGGTACCTATTGTAATTTTGTTATTTTCAATAGTAATTTGTCCAACACTGGTGCTGGCACTATTTATTTATCGTCCGATTATAAGTGGGTACAATATACTGTACATATACCTATACTTATTAGGTAGTTATTACTTAACTAATATAATATTAATTTTTAAATTTAGATATTTCATTTTATTGTAATTAACATAACAAATTGTACGCTCAATAGACCACGTTTAGACCTCTAAGTTTAAAATTAGAGTGAATTGACCTCTTATAAAATTTAGAAGTAAAAATATTATCTAGTGAACTTTGTACAGTTTTTTTAATATTTTAATTTTAAAATAGTTATGAGTATTTTAAAATAATCATGACTTGCTTCAAAATTTAAATTAAAAAAAAAACCTATGAGGTTCACTAAATAATAATCTTACCTTTAAATTTTATCAGATATCTATTCACTATGATTTTAAAACTAACAGAGCTGAGTGTACAATTTGCTATGTTATCTGTTTCTAAGACAGACAGAATGCATGTGGGTGTAGCGCCATCTTAAACAATAAATACAACAAACAATGACAGTTCATATACTTGGTAACTAAAGGGACACAGTGCCAGTTTTTCAAATTTTCCTCAATTCTATACAATTTTAAAATTAAGTTTAATATTTTAGTTGACATGTTAATTAAAATAGGTACCTATTTAGAGGGGGTTGATAGGGTATATTATATTGAGAAAAAAATGACTTCACGGGTATAATTCTCAGGCCTGGAGAATACCTAACTATTTTTTTTATCTGAAAGAAGAAGACATCCTACGAGCCGATCAAACTCCATTTTTTATTTTATTTCAAATAATGGTATACCTAATATAATTTGTAAAAAACGATTAGTGGAGTCACCATCTATGGCCAGTATCCATCTATGGCCAGTTTAGTTTTAAATATATTTTATTAGCAGTATTTTGTATTCCACAGTTATAATCTTGTGGTTGAATATTAAGGTGGATACACTGATTCATTACACATTCAATCTTATCATTTTACAGTTTTTTTTTTTTTTTTTTAATCACAAATTCATAATGCTGATATTATTATTTGTTGTTTCTTAGCAACATTGTTAAGAAAATGTAAATTTTGTTTTATTATTTTTGTGAAGAAAATTTTATAATTTGTTGGTGTTGACTACACAATCAGGTTCGTATTGTTTCATATAATATTATTATATTAATGTGCTTCAAAAAAATGCTTTGTACATTGTATTTTATATGGTGGCCATAACGGGACCTACATTTTGTTGAAAACTCCATCTATGGACAGACAATGGCCATAGATGGATCGTTACGAGACTCCTTTAACGGCCACTTACATTTATTTTATGCTTCACTTAGAGCTACCTACCTAGTTATACCTATTTGTCTGAATTGAATTTCATTATTAGCTTGGTAATAATTGTTTTAAATAGTACATGGAAAATGGCTTCAAAACCAACTACATCCAAAACCAAGAGTAACACACCAAAAAGATGTGTATATTCTCCATCCAAAGTTCAGCAAGCATTGGATGCAATTCACAAAGGTAGATTGTTGTAGACATTGATTACATAAATAGGTACCTATAATAAAAATAATTTTGCTTAGGAATGAATACATCAACAGCAAGCAAGACATTTAATGTACCCCGTACTACACTCAGGAGCAAGCTTGAAGGCAAGTCGCCAGTTGAATCTGTAGGACACGGTGGAGTAACATCCATACTTGGAGATGAAACTGAAGCTTTATTAGTAGAATGGGTGCTAACTTGTGCCAAAATGGGGTTTCCTGTAGATCGGGAGGGACTGTTAAGTTCAGTTAAGAAACTAGTGGATGAATCAGAAATGAAAACTCCATTTATAAATAATAGACCAGGTAAAAAATGGTTTTATGGATTTCTGAACCGTCACAAGTGTTTGTCCCAAAAACATGCTGAGTATGTGAACAAAGCAAGGGGATCAGTGACCGAGGAAAAAATAAGAAATTGGTTTGATGAAGTTTCTGAGCTATTGGGCAAAAATTTGTATGTGTTGAACTACCCAGAACGAGTATTTAACATGGATGAAACGTGTTTCTATTTGGCTCCTAAAGGAGAACTTATATTAGGGCCTCGTGGATGTAATGTGTATGATGAACAGACAAACAACAATAAAGAAAACATAACAACACTTTTTGCAGCCAACGCTTTGGGTAATTGGGCACCCCCTTTAACCATTTATAAGTATGAACGCATTCCAGCAAAGATTGCACAGTCTGCTCCTCCAGGATGGGGGTTAGGCAAGTCTGAAAATGGTTGGATGACTGCAGAAACTTTTTTTGAATACATGGCAAACATATTTGTTCTTTATCTAATACAGTCAAATATTTCTAGACCAGTTATTATATTCTTAGATGGCCACAGTTTGCATCTTAGCTTACATCTGAGTAGGTTCTGTAGGGAAAATGGTCTGATTTTAATAGCTCTTTATCCCAATTCAACTCATATCCTACAACCACTTGATGTAGCAGTATTTGGACCACTCAAGTCATCATGGAAAAGAACTGTGAAGCAATGGCGAATCGACAATGATAGAGAAATAAGCAAATTTGATATGCCAACTGCGTTATCTAACATCATGAATACACCAAATATGTCGAAGAATGTTCAATCTGGTTTCAGATCTACTGGCTTATTACCATTTAATCCATATAATGTAGATTATACCAAAATTATAATCCGTTCAGTCCCAACACAACAGAACACCTCAACAAATAATGAAATACAATTGCATTTGTAATTCATCGAAAAAAACACTGATAGTAATCTATTAAAAGAATTTAAGAGAGCCTATACTCTGTTCAAAATAAGATCGTGACCCGGCGGCGACCAGTTTTCGTCGGGCGGCGGTCAGACATATGGCCAGATGCCGTCCCCACTACAGCGACGTGTCGGACGCAGCCACGAAACAAAGCCACGCCCATGCGCACAACTCGGCCGCCGGGTCACGATCTTATTTTGAACAGAGTATATATAGGAGGATATGAGTGGGATGGTGATATCAAAGCTACAATGCTGTTTAATTTGTGGTCCACATGTGTAACTCAAACTAACAATGAGCAAACAAGAACAGAGTCAATCTCACAAGCAACAACTTTTGATTCCTATATGAGTCCAACATCAGCACAATTAACAACAATTAGTTTGGAATCAACAACAATTAACAATTCCAGTACATCCTATCAATTAGAAAACCAACCATCCACAAGTCATGATACTCCTAATACTTTAATTTTACCAACACGACGATCATTAACATCAGTATTTGAGGATGTAATTAAATGGCCAGTACAGCAGGTATCAAAGTCAAAAAGAAAAAGAGAATATACTCCAAGCGTCATAACATCAGACAGGTGGGTACAATTTCATGAACTAAAAGAAGCAGACAAATTAAAAAAAGATGAGGAAAGAGAAAATAAAAGGAAAGCCATACAAGACAGAAAAAGGGTAGCTGAAGAAACAAAAAGGGTAGACATTAAAAAAGAAAATACCAATTGATTCAGATAGTGAACACTCAGAAACTAACCAAAGTTGGAGTTCAATCAGTCACCACAGTCTAGATGAACCACTTGCTGTGCCCATAAAATCTATGGATTTGGTTTTATCAACATCAGACCTGAAACCCGGTGATTATATTATTGTAAAATTTGAAACGTCGAACAAAAGAAAACTCATTTACAAATATGTAGCATCAGTTCTTAAAATAGCTGATGTAAATGATATTGAAATACAATGTTTTGAATCGATAGATGAAGAAAACACTGAATTTGTTCCTATTGACAATGATGTGAGCATGATTGGCATAGAGAGTATTGTAGGGAAACTGCCTATACCTGAACTGAAACTATCTGGTAGACAACTAAAATCTGTCTTCCCAGGTGTTGTTGACGTATTCGAGAAATTTTAAGACTGTTTAATACAATATCAAATTAAAGACTGTTAGGTTTAGCAAAGAAACAATGTTCCTGACTAAAAAGTATATACCTAACTTCAATTAACTATTTTTAATAGCTAGGTTTGCTACATAATGTTTTATTTTATTGTTAATTTAATTTAGTATTTACAATATTAAATTATTCATTGTTTTTTTTTTAACACAGAAAGTACTGTTTTTGTTAAAAATATTAATTTTTATGTTTTAGTTTGTTTATTTTATAATTTTAAACTGTTATCTATATTAATATATATATATGGCCTAAGTAAACATGTTAAACCTATTTGAAAATGTAAAGACTGTTACGTTTAACAAAGACTGTTCCTAGCAACAAAGTATATAATTATATTACCATTTTTAATTCCAAAATTTGGTACATAATACCTATTATTCATTGTTAATATTTAAAAAATTGTTAACTATATTAATACCTACTTAGGTATGTATGAAATAAAGAGAAAGATATTGAAAGTAAAATGTTGTACCTATTTGAAATTTTTGTTTTTAAAATATTTAACTATTTATTTGTAGGTATAATTTTAGTTGTGTATTCATAATTGAGTAATGAAGTACACAATTATTTTTATAATGATGAAATACAGTGTAATTTATCATTACATTTAAATTTTTAAGATTTTTTTAATAGTGGCCATAATTGGGTATTTTATTGGCCATAGCTGGTGATTGCCGGCCATAAATGGGAGAAAAAGGTAAATAATAAAAAAAAATTATTTCTCATTAGATACTTTACTTATGAACCCAACATTTTAGCTAAGTATTAAACTTATTATGATGATAACTTGGTAAAAATTTCAAAGCTCAAATATCAACAAGTAAAACGCAATAGCATACTATATGATTTGTCTAAGAAAACGCTTAAGGTGGCCATAGCTGGTGACTCCACTTAAAATGTTATTTTAAAAATTATTTTTAAAGAAATATTATAAAGTTTAAGATCAATATATTCAATATTCAAAAACGGAGTTCGATGCAACCAGTAGAATATTACCCTTTAGTTAAAAGAAAAATTATCAAATATGGTTGTTCCTACAGAACAGGATCATTATTCCCATAGAGCGTATTTTTTGACACAAAATTACACTGGCACCGGACGCCTTTACATAATGATTAAGAGGATGTGATACCTGCATGTGTTGTCTCCGTCTTATAAGTGCGTAACATTGCAAATTCAGCAGAACACTTGTAGCTCAATTAGTTTAAAAATTAGAGTGAATTGACCACTTTATAATCTAAACTTAAGATTATTATCTAGGCAACCTCATGGTTTTTTTATTATATTATAATTTTAAAGTGAGATATGAGTATTTTAAAATTGTAAATCGTTTGTACATCTTAAATTAGGTAGGTACACATAATTCGCTTAAAAATTAAAATATAATAAAAAGCCCAGATTGCCTAGATAATAATCTTACCTTTAGATTTTATAAACTAACAGAGCTACAAGTGTTTTGCTGAGAGTAAAGTTTGCTATGTTACTCACATGTAAGACGAAGGCACAACACGTCATGAGGGTATCGCGTCCTCTTAACGCCTAGTACATCCAAAACAGGGAATAATATATTATAATCGATCGTTGACCGTTGGCGACGGCCGACACCGGTTTGCTTGAGTCGTACAGTCAGTGGAACCGTGGAGATGTTGGGATAATATAATACTATTATATTAATTGTATTAATTGTAATAATATCGATATAATCAATAAACAAAACAAACAAACAAATAATGTCCAGGGAAAAATAAAGGTAGGCAGACAATTTGTGCGCTGTAAACAAAATAACGATGACGAGTTACCTGAATTCCGTCGCAGCCGGGCAATAGAAATAACAAACACCTGCGACGACGCGCGTTCGAATTACGGGACGAGAGGTACGCCGGACGTCGCGATTACCGTTAATTTAAGTTAAAATGTAATCGAGTGACAACGCGATTGAGAAAACGACCGCCGGCGGAAGGCAGTCGACACACACAGGTCACGGACGCGAAAGTTAAACAACGGTCAACGGAGAAAAAAAACAAGAGAGCCCCAAGCCGCCCACCGACTACTAAGCACTAAGCAGGTTAGAGAAACAAAAGTCAAAACTGAAAACACAAGCGGCCAGCCTACGACGATAAGGTGGTATCAGTATTAATTTTCCATTCTGTGGATCTATACCGCGGTAACGAGTTGATAACGTTGTACCATCTAATAATTTTTTGTCTTTTAAATGTGCGCGTTTGTGTGTGTCAGTAGTCAGTACTCCGTTTCGTCAAGCGAATAACACCGACTGTGCAACACGCAATTTTTTGACTTTTTTCTCTCATCCGTTCAATCATATTGTTTCATTATTTGTCTGTTTTACATTGCTCTACGATCGTTTGTTTATTTGTCAGTAGTTTTTTTCAAAATAATAATAAATAGATTATGCCTTCCAACAATTGTGCCGTCATTGGATGTGATACAAAATACACCGATAAACATATCATACGACATCGTTTTCCTAAGGACGAGGAGACTTGTGGTGTATGGGTCCAAAAATCAGGAAACAATGATTTATTAAACAAATCGCCATTGCAGATATTCAATTCTTACATAATTTGTGAGAAACACTTCGACGCCAGCTGTAGTACCCCAGGTTTTAAAAAACTTATTCGTGGTTCTATTCCTACTCTTAATCTTCCAGGTAAATATTATTCTTATATTCTAATGTTCTAAGTATTTAATTATTTTGTACAACATTAATTATTATTTAATTCGTATAGTGTTTAATGCACAATGAATGACAGTAATAAAATCAAAGATGTTTTGGTATTTTCCGGGTTACCTATGTCGGCTACCAAAATATTTCCAAGGCTACCTATCTAATATTTGATATATCATTAAACATACTAATGAAGTTAAAACACCAAACTATTATATTATACTTACCAGTGGCGTACACAGGAATTTTTCAAAGGGGGGGTTTCAAATTTTTTTAACATTCATTTTTTATCTTTATTTATTTATATTTACAATTATTATTTAATTTGATATTAGAGGATGAGGTTTTTCATCGGTGTGACTAAACCAATAAAGTGTGACTAAACCAATAAAATGAAATATATAGTATATTAGCTACGCCATTATAAATATATATTTAGACATTTAATAATTTAGTCTCTTTTCTATGAATATTGTTCCGAATGTCGAATGCTACGAATACAATCTATCTAATCTATCTATCTATCTATCTATCTATCTATCTAATCTAATACTTATCTATGGAATACAAGTTCTCCGATTAAACACAACTATACGAATGCAGGCTGATCAAACTACTCCGATATTATTAACAATATTATTATTGATAAACTCAAACCGTAAAATGTAGTAAAATTGTTTTTGATTGCGATTTCGGATTTAGTAAACAAAGTACCTAATTAATATGAATTTCGATGTGCTCATTCTTGAATATATACAGAATTTAGATGTTCCGAATTTATTGTTCATAACTTTACTTTGGTGAGTAACAAAATAAAACATTTTTAACCTCGAAAATTTTCTAGATAGTGTCCAGCAATAATTTTGGTTACATTAATTGTTTTAACAAAATATTTAAGTTTCATATTCCATATTATTATAGTTGATATTTCAATACTAAATTAAGTACTGATAGCACATGCAAATATTTCACTGACGGTGGTCATTAAAAAATTATAATACGCTTATATTATAATAATAATTAAATATTGTATTACACTGGAATCATTGATTATATATTTTATACTATAATGTATTGAATTATTGTTAAATTTGTATTAAATCTTTCATTCATTCTTGTAATTTAATTTTTTATAATCTTTTATAATTTTATACTCAATGAATCATGTTATTGCAAGAAACTAAATATCAATAATCAATATTAGTACATATTATTAGAGTAGACTGTAAAGTACTAATGTGTTAAATTTACTTAATATAATGTTTCCAAACATGCTAACTAAATGTATGCCATTTCTTCATTATGTTGCTGTTGAGATGGGAAAATGTAAAAGTTATCTGAACTCTAAGTATTTTACACATAGTTACTTAATTCTTGGATTAAATTCTTAACTTACATGTATGTATTTAAATTGTTAACATTTCAAAAATGTTTACAATATTGAGATAGTTACTGTTATTCTAGTATAATCTAAATTGTTCTGTATTATTTTTTTTCAGGTTATTCCTCGGGTTATTCACTAGCAAAAAAAAAAAATCAAATTGATGATTTATTACCTATTTGTATGAATTAATGCATTCAATTATTACAAGCATATTATATACTGGTAAGAAAAATATCATATTTAAATTGCAAATATGCAATAAATAACTGATTTAATATTAAACATTTTTTTTATACTTAATGTTTGTGCATATTTTAATATTTATAGTGCATATTTAATCGCTTACATGAATTTTTTAAGAGCATGTTATTGCTCTTAAATAACCTTTATTAAAGCTAAAAGTTATGAACACGAATATACTATAGTATATCTTAATTTGTGGATTTGAGCCTTGGTCATATGATAATCATTAAAAGGACACCACTCACGTTAATTGTTGATCCTGTCCTACACACGTAGCATAGCAATTCAATTTTCCTAATTCATACTGCAGTTTATTATACTGATATAGTTAATCTTAGACAATGTTTACAATATTGAGACACTATCTGTTATTCTAAATTTTCTTTATTATTTTTTTCAGGTTATTCACTAGCAAAAAAAAAATCAAATTGATGATTTATTACCTATTTGTATAAATTAATGCATTCAGTGATTACAAGCATATTATATATTGGTAAGAAAAATATCATTTTAATGTGATAAAAATACCTATTGTAAAAATCCGTATTCATTTCAAGAGTTTATTGATGGAATTATAACAACTACCCATCATGCATCACTGGAACTAATTCCATTACTTTTGTAAACAAAATTGACAATGGCAAAATGGTAAAGAACAAATCGAATGTTAACAAAATAAGTGAGTTGCTACTTAAGTACGATATAATAAAACATAGCATGCTTGATATAGTATGACAAATAATCATTGTATAAGTATATTTGCCAGTTCTTAATGTATAGTGATAAGACAGCATCGCGGGCATTAAAATATTACGAAATTTCGTGAACGATGCAGCTATACGAACCACGATTTAAGACGTAACACAGGCATTTTACCCGTCTCATATAGCAAAATTACGATCAGCAGATCACATTTAGCACCGTCAGTTCAAAAGTTAGAGTGAATCGACCTATATTGAAACAATAATATATAACCTATTATTATTATTATTACTATTATTGAATTATTATCATGTTTAAACTTATATACTATGTTAATTTGTATTGTCCTGTGTTAATTTGTTGTAAAGGGCTTTGCCCGTAAATATATATAAATAAATAAATAAATAAAATAAGCAAATGTACGTTCTGCGTAGTAAAATTTAATATTTGGGTCTGTGTACACGATAAGTAGTCGAAATAATGCTTCGCTTTTCATCTTTTCCGGTGGCAAAGTGAATCTAGTAGGTGCATAGGCGATGTCGAAATGAACAGTAGGTACCTACCTAGTCTCCAAAAGCGCCGGGAAAAAAGAAAAAACATAGGAAAAAGTGAATTTTTACGTAAAATCGGTTTCGGTATTTCGTGTAAGTGGTGTAACTATAGACTAATATAAAAACCTATAAACAATATTCTCCCCTTTAAGTTTCATAATTCGCTCCAACATTGTATTGTTTCATCTGAGTAGGTAGAATTATCTCCAAGAAAGTCAACGTCTGAACAATTGTCAATACATTGGCTTCACTACCTAGTTCCTTGCATGTGGTACATCATATATTTCAGTTTTGAAAACCATAATAAGTATAGTCCATTGTATGAATTAAAAACAATAAACTATTAAGTAACTTTTGGTTTTGGCAAACATTTAAAATTGGATACTTGTGTGATATACTTACACATGTGTGTTTGAATTAGACATTATTGAGTATCAAAGGCTTTTCTGGGTGAATTAAAATAATCATCAACTGTACGGCCTCCAAATCCTTTATTGGTCTGTTAATTTTCTTCTAACTCGTCGTTGGAGAAATATCATTTTCTGAAAATGTCAAGTTGTAAAAAAAAATACATAAATAGGTACCAAATTCATGGATAATGTTAAATGATTTTACCTCTTAGATGCGATTTACTAGTCGTGCTCAGAGTAGTACCAATTTTACTGTAAAGTACTAACATTTTTTTTACTTCTCTATCCCAGACAAGTGGTTTGGATTATGTTTTGAGACAGCCTCTGACCATATTTACTAATTTACTGGGCATTGTTTACAATCACTAATAATTGAGAAATGATTGCCGCTGCAGATTCTATGCCAGGTAGAAATCGTGATAATTCGAACATTTGTTGCCATTATTTCCTTTTATTTTATTGATTTTTTGGAAATCTACCTATATTTGTAAACAAATTAGCAAATTAGACTGACTCCACATTATTAAGAAATATAATCAGTACAACTAGAAAATAATACTTACAATTGAAAATTAACGTAATGTGGCGAGGCGATACATTGGATGTTTTACTAAAAAGAATACACTTATCCATGGTGATTTTGTACCAAAATTTATGAATAGCACTCTGTACCTACGACTGTAGTTCTGTAGTCTGTATTTTTGTTCGAATTTCAAATAATCGAGACTCGCGAGTCGCGAGTGATTCAAATTTAAAGTCTGAATCGAAAAAATAATAATATTATCATGTTGTTGTTTATTTGATAACAATTATTACTATTTTGTGGTAAATAGTGATAAGACAGAATCGCGGGAATTAAAATATTACGAAATTTCGTGAACGATGCAGCTATACCATAGAACAATAGCTATACGAACCACGATTTAAGACGTAACACGGGCATTTTACTGTCTCCGTCTTATATAGCAAAGTTTACGATCAGCAGATCACATTTAGCATCGTCAGTTCAAAAGTTAGAGTGACTCGACGTAGGTACCTATATTGAAACAATTAGCAAATTTACGTTCTGCATAATAAAATTTATTATTTGGGTCTGTGTACACGATAAGTAGTCGAAATATTGCTTCGCTTTTCATCTTTTCCGGTGGCAAAGTGTATCTAGTAGGTGCATAGGGCATGTCGAAATGAACAGTACCTACCTAGTCTCCAAAAGCGGCGGGAAAAACGAAAAAAAAATATAGGAAAACGTGAATTTTTACGTAAAATCGGTTTCGGTATTTCGTGTAAGTGGTGTAACTATAAATTAAATTACTGTAAATACATGCAAATGCCATTGATTGTCTATATTGGAATCAAAAACCATAACATTTTCAAAATATTTAGATTCATGTCGAGGTATTCGTTATATGCATACGAAATATTCGTTTTTTCTTAATTTTCTAAAAAATTTTCGCTCGGTCCAATTACCTACTTGAGAATGTAATACGCCTACAACGTTCCTCGCAAGTCGTTGGTGGAAATTAAAAGAAAAAGTCTACCGTAAATTCACAATAGTTTTTCATGGGCGTCTGAAGTTAGAATTTTGTCAAAATTCGTAAAAATCACGAATATTTGAAAACTATTTTTTGGTTAGAAATTCATACAAATGTGTATTTTTATTCGAAAATTGAATGTGTATATACGATTCCGGTGGTTCGACCCTTGACCCAAATAAAAGAAATAATACATAATATTATAAATTATCAACACGACAAATATGAAAAGTATGATGGTACAGTTTAAAATTGTTTTAAATAGGTACCTACCTACTTTTCTGTTTTATTATACAATTTAAAAATAAAGTTTTCTTAAATTAGTCATTGACAAAATGATTTAATTCACAAACATAACTCCACAGTGTGTAGGTATAGTTTTCTTTTGGTTAAATAAAGTAACTAAAATTACTTTCTGATGTATGGGGGGGGGGGAAGTAGGTAAAATTAGTACACAAATTAAACGAAATAGGTAATTATCAGAATATACCTAATTTAAAAGTCTTCATCAGTTATGTCCATTGTTGATAGTTGAAGAAATTTAATAACAGGCACTGATGCTTTTTGGTAATAATTGCATACTCTTTTTTCAAAGAATTTTGTCTTTCCTCGTTGCAAATGCAGCGTCGGCGAGGTAGTCGAGCAAACAGAATGAGACTCGCGGTAGGATAACAGAAAAGTACCATATGTAAGTGTGTGTGTGTAGGAGACGACAACCGGTGGTTGTAGCCAGGGCCTGATTTACCAATTTATGGGTTCAGTACAATTTACAATTTTGGGCTATAATACTACTTAAAATAATATACTTATAATTTAAATATAACATACATTTTAGTCAATTTGTTAACATATATTTTATAAATACAATAATAACAATCATCTCTATCAAACAATTAAAAATTCTTTGCAAAAAGCTTAGAATATAAATAATTTAATAATCAATCACAAAATTAGGAACTTAGTAAAATAATTTGGTATTACAGCTTTAATGGGTGATCGTCCTATAAGAATATTCATTTTATTTATATCAATTTATTCTGTTACTATATATAGTTCAGCAGTAGTCATACCGGCATTAAATAATAATAATAATAATAATAATTCAAAAATAATGACAATTATTTGTCTATGGTTAAATTGCAATTTAAAAATATAAATATTTGTCTTTAAATGTATTATGTTACTATATATAATACAGCAGTAGTCATATCAGCATTAAAAAATAAGAAAAAAAAATATAATAATAATGTAAAAATAATGAAAATAATATTATGGCTATGGTTAAATAAAAGGATAAAGTGGTTTGGTTAAAGTTTACGTATTATTTTTTTGTTTAAGAGTGGCGAATTATTTTATTTGAAAGTCTTGTCGAAGCTAATCTTAACCAATTTCGAATTTTTGTTTTGACATCATGCTCAGTTGCATCGGTGTGGAAATTTAAAACAACATCTAATAGTTAACAAAACAAAAAAGAATAATATATAAAAAATAATTTTTGTATAAGTATAATAATATGTATAGATTATTATCACTCAGTGATTATACCTATTATTATAGAATTAAGAGTCAATTCTTTAAATGGATTCTTTGCATTGTTCTTTCCATCAAAGTTATAATATTGAGCACATGTATCACTCATTACTGTTCTTAATATAGTAGTGACGGTTTCTTGTATACTATTTCGGCACCCACATTGTCTTAAGCGATTTTTCTAAAATTATAAAAGCAATTAATGAAAAGATTAAGTTTGAATTAATAATTATAAATAAAAAATTACCATTAAATGCTGTGATGCTGGATCTTTCAACTTATTTTCCATTTCAACAACATCTTCTAAGGAATTAAGTGGCAAATTATGGAACCTGCTTCGAAATTTTTCCTGAATACTTAAGCTAGCTGGTTGGACAGTTTGATTATTGGATTGTAATAATTGTTCAAGTAAACAATTAGTGTATAGTGTTGCTTTGAACTGTTTTTGCAGTAGGTTTGCAATAGTTGATAAATTTACTAAAAATATTGATTTTAAGTTATTAGGTACATATTATTTTACAATACCCAGATTTACCATAAAAATTAATTTACCTGTATTATTAGAAGTCGTTTCGTCTTGGGATCTTTCATCTTGAGATATTTCTCTTGCTGAAATATTCAGCTCAACTATATCTTTGTCACTATTATCTGTACAACCTAAGCAAATATAGAAATTAAAAAAAAACTATGTAACTTACCAAATAAGAATTGTATTAACTAAAACTAATTGTTACCAATATGATTTGTTTTATTTTTTTTTTCCGTTGAGTGGTATGCCGGCTCAAACATATCATCCTCACTATCATCTGTACAACATTAGCAAAGATAGACATTTTTAAAAAACTATATAAATTACCAAATAAGAATTATATTAACTAAGACTAATGTTTTTACCAAATTGATTTGTTTTTTTTGGGTTTTTCTGTGGAGTGGTATGGCTGCACCAATATATTGTCATCATCATCTGTACAACATAAGCAAATAATGAAGTTTTTAAAACCTATATTTAAATAACCAAATATAAATTGTAATTACTCAGGGGTTTAGCCCATGAAGGAGGTTTTGGAAGACTTTTAATAAAACTATGAGATTCTTGTGAACTTGATTCATCAGTGAATAATTTTAAATTTTTAAATTTCTGCCTCTTCCCACGACCTTTATCTTCATCATTTGTTGTTTCACCTTTATAATTGTTATCATTTGCAAATCTGTTCAATTTTTTTTGGGCTTGAGTAAATGATTCTAAAACCATTTATCAAATACACAGTTAAAAAAAATTGAGTTAATAACTTAAATTTACCCATTTATTACTAACCACATTTATATATAATTCTACATCTATATTGAATCCAACTGTCTTCTGGGTAGCACTCTGACTTGGCTAATTTAATGGATGAACCTTTTTTATTCGGCCATAGGCAATATTGCGTTACGTTATCTGTACTCACTAACCAACTATAATGTAAAATTGTTAGCATTGGTCCTTCTTTAAAATGTACTTCACTGATAACAAATTTACAATCTTCCATTTTGATTTCTGAAAATAGGTTGCTAACATGCTTTTTTAGTTTAAATAAAAATTATAAAAATTAAATTCTAAGTTTTAAAAATACACAAATCTACCTAATAGTAAAATGTGCAATATTTAATGTAATATTGTTAACACAGAAAATGTACCTACATTTTCATCATTATGCATGGGTATTATCAATGCTTTAGATTTGATATTAATTAATTTTATTGGTTTAGGTTCTGATAAATTATTACATAAAAATATTCCAATATTACCTGAAGGCAAAGGAAATTCAAATAAATCATTTACATTTAAAAATTTTCTACAAACCAAAAATATTTCATTATCACTCTGAGTGATATTTTCAATTAAAAGTATTGACCCATCATTATCAATGCAACAATTATTCGGTTTCTTTATAGTTAGTAAAAATATTTCGGTATGAACTTGTTTATACGACACACCTTCAACTCCAACAATAAAAGTGCCATTCACATTTCTTTTTTTTAATATTGGGTAATTTTTAGTGTTTATTAAAGGTGTGTTACAACGCTCTTCTTCTCTGTTTCGAAGTTGAGCTAAGGGATTGGTACTTTTTCTTATTTTTTTTTTTATAACTTGGAAACTGTTTTCAAAATGGAAAGTACTGAATAAATCTAAATGCCCATACCTCCGACAGTCCTCAGCCAAATGAATAAGGTTATGTATATTATATGATATATATTCATCACCATATAACCCTCCAAATTGAGTGACAAAATGTAGTAGTAAATCATTGGCATAATCAATCATATAATTTACATATTTAGATGAAGATAATATTCTTATAGCAGTATGAAGTGTCATAAAATGGGCATACAAACTTGGATTTAACATATTTTTTAACACTAATGGGCCAATATATAAAACAAACAGTCTAAATTCTGTGCCCTTCCAATGACAAAGCTCAGACAATGCTCTTGGTTTTCGAGCAAAGTCAGATGAAATATGTTTCTGTAATTCAATTAGTTGATAAGAAATATTTTTTACCACTACTCCTGAAAGCCTGACATTAAGGGGACCCTTTATCCACAAGTATAACATTTTTCGTACAGTGCCAAGACAAATTAAGTGTAAATAATCTAGTGGAAATTGTGTCACTAATTTTGCTCTTGGAATCAAAAGAAGAGGTGACTTTTCACGACAGTGATCATCATAGACACCAGCTGCAAAATCAATATCAGTACGACGTGGTGCTGAAACGTCAGCAAAACACATGCGATTATTTATATGATCACCCTCAACTTGGCATTTTTCACATGCAAAATATGCATTATGCCTTTTAATACATTTTACTAAGGCTCGAGCTGGTGCATCACATATATAACCCTCAATATTAAAAGTCATATGGCGATCATTAATAAATAAACCATTAATAGTTAAATAAGAAGCTTCTTTGACAAAGTCTTCAAGATAAGCTTCAACATTTGTTGGTTCTTTTGTTCCGAAATATGACCCTATAATGAATGGATCATGTTTGATTTCAAATATAGAACAAGAAATTGGCCACAAAGAACCACCAGAACTTTTATATATTGGTACCCCGTCAAAGTTGATAAACACTTTAAAAGAACTGACATTTTTTAAAATACTGTTGCTATATTTCAAAAATGTTTTGCGCAAACCTATTTCTAGACCAAAATGAGCATATTCTCCGGAATCTCCAATTTTTTTGGAAATTAAAGGTTGCTTAGGAGTTTTCATCAATGTTCTTGCATCTTATGGAAGAGTTATTAGATCTAATGGATTACTGGAAGTGAGAATGTGCAAAAGCGAAGTCAAAGCATTAGCAGAAATATATTTCTCTGAAGCCCATTCCCTTAATTTAGTAGAAAGATTACTATCGGTGTTACTACATTCATTAAAATATTCATCCTCAAAATAATCATTTGAACTACTACTATTGCAGCTACTAGTACTGCTACTACTAGTACTACTACTAGGACAATAAATATTGAATTCGTTAAAGAATTCGGCATTGGCGTGATTAATCTCAATATCAGGATCGGGAGCTACAGTATTTGAAACCACACTAATAGGTACTGCACAAGTATCACTAGCTAAAGAGGCTTGTTGTAATACACGTAATCTGCGGTTCTTTTGAGATTTACTCAAATTAGTTATTTGTTTGTATGGATTTTTCGGCATTTTAGATAAAAAAAAATAAGGTTGTAAATGTAAATGTTTTATAATTTCATAAAATCTACTTACCACTGAACGTACTGTTGAAATTTTCAATTGAAAAAAATTTACAAACAAAATATTCACGTCCTCAACCACTGACCACTAGTCGACAAATGCTGAAAATTGAAATGCACACTAAAAATAATATGCAAGGTGTTTGGAAAGTTTGGTACGCGTCATTTAGATTATTTTAAAAATAATAACTACCTATAATAAAATATTAAGTTACAATTTATTATATGTTATTACCTACTTATATTATGTTGTGGTGAAACCCATAGATAACAAAAATTGAAAGATATCTATGGGTGAAACCATGAACTACTAGTACTAGTAGTTCATGCTAATGAGTAATCGCAAACCCGTGATAAGAGAAATATGTGCCGGTTTCAGCCGCACGGCATCATAAATGGTAATCGGAAAAAATAGTCCCGGACCGGGATGTGATATCGAAATAAAAGTATCGATACTTTTACTTGGTATCGAATCGAATGAAAATACTCATACGAGTAAAATATCGAAACAAAAGGACCGATATGAGTAAGTATCGAAAAAAAATATCGAATCAAACTAAAATACTGATATAGGTAAAATATCGTAACAAAAGGACCGATATGACTTTATGAGACTATGTATCGAATATACGAATGAAATAATTTGTTTACCTATACTTAATACTTTCTTTTTCAATATATGAAAGAATTCTAAATCTTGAACATGACTTTTTTCTATCCAAAATACTGAAATATGAATGATGTCTATAAACAATTTAAAATTTTTCCGCTAGGGACAACTTACTTTATCCTAGGCAGTGTTAATAATTTCATGAGTATGATTGTATGAAGTATTAAAGGACAAAGATACATTTTTACCTTATTTTAAAGGCTATACAATTGCTTAAAAAAATCATTTTATTTATTTATATAGAATACAATTCTAAAAAAATACTTGTATTTGTAATCAAATACTTTGTGAGTATACGTAAAATACATTTTTATAATAGTATTTTGAATACTATTTTATTTGAATACCTACTAGTAATAGTATTTAAATATTTATTTGAAAGTATTTTTTACAAGCCTGGTGTTAAACACACTTCTGATTATACCCTGTTCAAATGTTACATTTGAGTAAAATAAAAAACATTTAATACAAACAAAACTCATATTTATTATTGGTAGGTATTGTAGTCATATTATTATATAGTAGTTATCGAAAAAATAAAAAATAAAATACAAATACAAATTATATATAAGTAGTTATATTATTATAAAGTAGGTACCTATAGAAAAAATACAAATAAAAAAATAACAATGGTGGTAAAATGATTCGATACCATTCATTCGATACTACCTTTGTAGTATCAGTTTAGATACGACCACCAAGGGAGCTAACTATCCACAAGGGTCATAAACACTCGCTACCTCACCTAGGAGTTGTCTTTTTGTAAGCTGTTTTACTGTCTCGGTTGCATGTGTTTGAATGGAAAACGTATCCTTAGTCGCATTGTATGACACGCCCAAGAACTTAATGTCCATCTCCAGGTGGTCCTGCAACGGCAAACGCGTGACACAATGTTCAGCTGGAACTCCCTGTAACACAACTGTAAGTCACTGTAAGTACAATTACTAGCCCACTTCCGTAATGAGTCTACCTTGTTATAATAGACTTATGAGTTCTCGCTGTAGCTCGACTAACTCATTGGCAGAATCACGTCCAGTCATGACCTCGTCCACATAAAAGTCTTGACGAAGTACTTTTGATGCTGTCGGTTGTGACGCCGTCTAGTCATCAGCTAACTGACGTAGTGTCCGGATAGCTTGATAGGGTGATGTCACGAGGCCATAGTGTCGGTATTGTTGAATAGGATCCGATGGATCAGCACGCCATAAAATACATTGATATTTCCTGTCAACCGGGTGCACTAGAATTTGTCGGAACATCTGTTTAATATCGGCGCTGAAAACAAATCGTGAAAATTGGAAGTTAATTATGACACTTACAATGTTGCGTTGTAACTTCTGACCTTTGTGTAGATAGTCGTTAAGTGACTGACCTGTGTTCATAACGCTAGACCCGTCAAAGACAACCCATAACTTGGTCGTGGTACTGGATGGTCGACAGACATGATGATGTGGGATGAAGACGAGTGGCTGTTGTTCATCCTGAGTACTCACCTTTTCCATATGATTGATCCACAGATTATATGAAAAGTAATAGAAAAGTAAAATATGCAAATTGTTGTCTCAAAATTTATTAATTTAAATTTATCACAATATCAAACAATATAAAAATTAAACAATTAAAAAATGTTAGAATGCAGGTAAATTACAAATAACTTACAATTTTTATTATAAACAATTAAAAATAAATAAATATTATAAATTATAAACATAATCAAGAACAACATTTTAATACAAAGTCTTTCTTTCTAATTTATTTATAAATTAAATGATTTAATATACCTACACAATTTTCTATTTTTTTTTGTTTTTCTGATATTAAATTCCTATTTAAAAATTTAATAGCAGCATGAATCCTAAATCTTATAAAATAATTAATTAAATACTCTTTATTAAATAGTGGACACGGATGTCGAAATACAACATTAGTCTTACTTAACTTTAACTTAATACCTACCTACTACATTTTCAATAGATAATTGTGGAAACCTACTTATAAAAATGTTTTCTAATTCATCTATATAATCATAAAATTCATGTTGTGGCATCATTAAATTGCCAAACATTGATTTTTCTGAATTTTCATATGCTTTGAAATAACAAAGTAAAAAAGTCATCCAAGCAGAGTCCAACAGCACACGACACAGTTCATTTCGTCCATTAGGTCCATGTACACGTACCAACGCCGTAGACAGAAGTACTGATGACAGTGAATGTGACTTTCTTACTGTCCTGTTGTCTTACCATAGTAGCCTGTGAAACGGTTTTTGTTGTTGTCTTTGGCTTACTAGGACAATGCCTAAACTGCATGATCTCAAGAGCATGAACTCGATTCTCTATGAATTCACCCAAATTGTGCCATGGGGGAAAGTTAACATAGCTGGTCGACTCAATTTCCCAAGTCTTCCTCATCTCAGGTGACAGCTTTGTAGATACCAGATGAACGAGTATGTCATCCCAATACTTAGTAGGACGTCCTAATGCTTGTAATGCCCTCACATGTTTGTTGGTGCAATCAATTAGGTTTTTTAATGCAATTGCAGACTCCTGCTGAGCAGCACCTAACCAGTGAGAACAAATGATGCATGTGTATTTGAAACACCAAGTACTTGTTATCATATCTACTTACAACAGACTTCCAAGCTTCTGTGTAATTAGTTGCATTCGACGACAGTGATGATATGACTGTAGCAGCTTGTCATACTAAACTTGTTTTCAAATAGTACATTTTTTCGGTGTTGTTTATGTCTTTGTTTTTATGTACCATTGTTTCAAATTGATCCTTGAATGAATACCATTCTTCTAAATTACCTCCAAATTGTGGTATATTGATTGATGGTAGCCGGATGTTCTGTTGAACAGTTTGCCTGTTTTCATCGATCGTTAGATTAGACAATGATTCCAAGAAATCGGCCTTCAGTGTAACATATGTTGTTACGTGCAGCCCTTTTAGAATTCAAACAATGATGCAGTTTGAAATAATAATACTAATTTCAAAGTAATAAAATGTGTTTTTAATAATTTGGAATAGTTTAATTATGATACCGTGGTAGTAGCGGTGTAGCGGTGTGAAGTGACTTCGGTCTTACTGGTCCAGGTACATCTGATCAGGCTGTGCTCCTGTCTCCTTTATATATGCTGTCAGCTCATTTGATCTGGTCAGCATACGGAACTCGCAGGCGTCTTGGGTGTGGTCGTAAAAGTTGTTGTCGTAATGAAGAAACTCCGCCTCGTGTTCATAGATTGTTATAAGATTGCTAAATGCTTTTACAAAGAGAACCACATAATAAGGAAAAGCGGTTTATACTACAGTTATACTTAGTACATATTAATACATGCCCATTACAATGTGTTAAACACTTCCATCAGCTTGTCTATGTGCTCTTGTTGCTGACCTCTTCATCTAGATCGGCCAACTGCTCATGTATACCCATGTATGATGTAGGTACGCGCATCTTCGAGCAGAGCAAGTTGTGTTTTTATGGTAAATTAATTTAATGTTTCGATCAGATCTTTCGTATGTGCACTACGTTTCTTCTCGATTAACTTCCTCTTGTTGAGGAGCTGTTTTTTTATTTTTTTCATATTTCGGGGGCACTATGACGATTGTCGATTACACCGCGAATACAGACGCGACGTACAACTTAACACGACGCACTATATTGATGAATATATGATACTGTGATCCGGCCCGAAAATGATGGGCAATTATATAAAAAAAGAATAACGCATAATAATTATTGTGAAAAATGTGCTTTTGCAACGGCAACAGCGGACTGCATAATATGTACCTATTGTGTTATAATGACGAGCGAAAAGCCGAAAAAACGTATTTGCACAAAAAGAAAAATGTGAACATAACCTGAAAAACAACAAGTACAATAAATTACATTTCGGAGGCGTATCACTTGGTATCACAGGACAACCGCGGTTCTACCAGTTCTACCTAACTCGGTGATAAAGATATTGTGGCGACTGTTGTCCCACGACACCGTTCTCCAGCAGCTGTCGTAGCGGCGTCCGTACATAATCCCTATTATACTACATGCTATAATATTGTAAAACGTAGCACCGCTATCGATCGTCGCGCTCCTGGTGGCAGAATAACCGTGCGACTTTTGTCAGGCCACGTCTTTAATCTTTATAAACGAGCGGCTAACCTAATTCTCTACGTCTACAACTACTCGTGTAGTCGTGTCTCGTGTACTTTTCTCTTCTCAGTTCTCACTTCTTACTTCTTGGCTGTGGTACGACACTGGACACTGGTGCTGTGCTGTACTGCTTACGTTGAGTAACGTCCAAAAAATCTTACTTGTTCTATATACCATTTAACGGCATCCGCCTTGGCAGAAATAGAACGAATTTCGAAGACTTCACAAGTTCATTTGGATTTTGTTTGTTTAAATAAAGGCTTCCCGTTGGAAAAATGAATCAACCAGGTGGGTACCATATTTTGATTATCAATAAAATATAAACGGGTAGTACTGTAACACATACTTACGTTTTATAAAGGTGCAAAGATGCATAATAAGGATCTGATCAAATCCAGTTGGGTTGAGGTTGAAGATCATTTGGAGAAAACAACATTGCCACAAGCAAAGGTTGATCCACACGGAAATACCAAAATTATTACTGAATATCGTTGGAACAAGGATGACAAAAAAGAAAAGATAGTTCGTACAATCGTACGTATATAAAATTGAAAAACGACTGGTGTCCAAAACTATAGCTGAGCGCAAGACATGGTATAAACCAGTATTTTTCTTTTAGAATGCAATGAAAGAAGCTGTTGCTTCATTCCAAAGCAGTTTACCATGGAGAGAACTACTCGATATTGTGGCCGAAGCTGCTCCAATGGCTCCTGAGCTTTCAATGGAAGTATGTATTTAATTATTATATTCTTTATACCTGAATATCACTAAAAGCAAATTTAAAATAGCAGATTAGATGTTCTAATTTGATTTGTATTATTGCTTAGTTTTTTACCAAAAAATATACTATATTACACACTAATGCCAGAAGAAGATTAACAACTAAACAATTTCTTGTACCCGCCCCCAGCAAACACTACTATAATGTGTAATTACTATACACCATGCTCAAGTAACACACATAACCAATCATAATTTAGCTGTGTGCCAGTGTGAAACAAATATAGATATGTTTGTCGTCTATTTATATTCTAATTTCAACCCAGGTATAGGATGATGTATCATTATTTTAAATTAAAAATAAAATATTATTTACGATTGGAAGTTATCAATTAAATTCTTTAAATATGATGTGAACTTAGATGAAAGACATGATTTCAATCCTCATAAATATTAATAATAGGTTCAGTAGTTAAAACATTAAAGTAGTAATATCATAAATTCTATCGATTTTTTGGTACTTATTATTGCCTCACCATTGATTTTACACTGTAATCTGTTATACAATGATATTTTTTATGTACCTTTACAAAGCTTTAAATTAAAAGTAAATAATAATAAATTGTTTAAAATTAATAGTAACATAGTTAATAATTTTATTAATATCTCATAATTATACATAAAACTGTAAAAGAATAAGATAGTTTTATTAAGATCCTTAATTAAAGTCACTCATTTTATTTATTTCAATGATATAATATGATTTTGTTGTATAAATTGAATGCCATTATTCAGCAATATATTCCAGCAAATAATTAATTAAAATTAATTTTTAACAATATTTTATAATAATCTAATAAGGTAAGATAGGTACCCACTTTAAATTATACATACTTACAATATAACGACAAGTTAACTCCATACTAACATGATTAAAATTGAATAAAAAAAAATATCAAGATTTTAGATTTTAATTTAGGTAAATACTGCTGACATAAGGTCTCTTGGTGAAAGGGTGATAAATTGTGTATGGCTTTGTGGCGGGACAATTACAAACAAGTACCGATTTTTTAAAAAATATTAAGAGGACGTGATACCCACATGTGTTGCCTTCGTCTTACAAGTGTGTAACATAGCAAATTCTATGTAAAGCAGAACACGTGTAGCTCCGTTAGTTTAAAAATTAGAGTGAATTGACCTCTTATAAAATCTAAAGGTAAGATTATTATCTAGACAACCTCGTGGGCTTTTTATGATATTTTAATTTTTAAGCGAGCTATGAGTATTTTAAAATTTTAAATTGTTTATAGATCTTAAAGTTCTCATAACTAGTTTAAAATTAAAATATTATAAAAAGCCCATGAGGTTGTCTAGATAATAATCTTACCTTTAGATTTTATAAGAGGTTAATTTACTAATTTTTAAATTAACGGAGGTACACGTGTTTTTCTGAGGGTACAATTTGCTATGTTATGCACTTGTAAGACGGAGACAATACACATCCTCTTAATCAAGTTCATAAATATAGGTAGGATATTTGAACTGTATTTTAGTCAGTGATAAAAATCTAATTTTTGATAAACCTTAAATCTTGTTTGCTCATTTGTTGCAATCACAGTTTTAATAAAAAACTTAAATAAAATTGTATTTTATAAATGTACTACCTAATTAAATAAATGTTTTAGTATTATTCCAGCACAATGTTTGGAATAAAAATTTGTAATTTTTAAATTGCTTATAGCTTGTGTCATTATCTTTATCATAGAATTTTCTTATTATTTCAGATTACTGAACAACAACAATTTCTTAAAGCTGGTAAAATTGATGAAGTAGCATTAAATGATTTTAAATGGGAAACCATGTTTCTCAGGCAAGCCCAAACAGCTGTTATGCGTGACACTGAATTGTTACGTAAACATTGTATAGCTACACATCGACCAGAAGATTATTTTGCAGAAATGTTTAAATCTGATGAGCATATAAAAAAGGTACGACATGCATTTTTACAAAGCAAGACTGCTCTAGAACAAACAGAAAAAGTACGTCGTATCCGGCAAGAAAAGAAATTAGCTAAAGAGAAACAAGTAGCAGCTATACAAGCAAAACATAAACGTGATCTTAATGAAAACATTAAGAAGTTCAGAAAAGGTTTAAGAAATGATTTAGACTTTTTGGAAACTGATAGTGAGAAGAAAAATAAGAAGAAAGATGATGGAGGTGGTGGTGATGAAAAGAAAAAGTTCTTTCAAGGTATTTAAATTTTTAATTAGTATTGAACATCAAGTAACGTTTATATGAGTAGAGACCATATATTAATATTTAACTTTTGATACATTTTTTATATAACATAATTTATAATATTTTACAGGTAAAAAATAATGAATTGATTTAAAATAAATTTGTTTTCAATACAGAGCTGAAAAGTAAAATAAAATTGTCCATAATAATTGTTTATGAAAGCATGATGCTGTGACGAATACCCATTTTTATAACCATTTGTTTTAATATAAAGTTATTGTTTCCACAAAACAAAAATTAATTGTAAAGAATAATATATTATTTTTATACTTATTGATTTATATATTAATTAACTATAATAGTACTTACAATTTGGAATACATGCATAATAATTTTTATTTTTTACAACCACAGAATACATCAATTCATTTTTTATAGTAAATCTTCTTAAATATGTCCTATCTTTTATGTGCAGTCTTGAAATATTTTTGCTTCTTAAAATTACATTTT